CTGGTCGTCGCGAGGACATGCAAAAGATAGGAAACAAGCTTTGATTCGTCATGCGGCACAATCTTCAAGACTGGGAGACTAGGATGCTTGTGCAAACTGCACTGCAGTTTGAGCAGGAGGGTCTTAGGATAACATGGGCCTACATAGCTCGGCGTGTGGCGAAAACAAAGCCCTCAAGGTGAGAGCTTCTACTTCGCTTGGCGAGCCTCAAACGAACCTACGGTAACACAATCAGCAGCTTCCCCCGATGTTTCTTTGGTGATATCAAGCAGCAGCCCCGTCATGGACGTTCAGTCTTACCGAGACTAAGCCAGACTGCAACTTCGCCTGCAAGACCACCCGCTACGTTAGTCGCGCCTCCATCGAGACCAATAAGTCGCACGGCGTCTGCCCAGCCTTTAGTATCATCTCGACGGTCCGCAGATCTTACGACTGGTGTACAAATGTCAGCTACCGCTAGGGTCGCGTTACCGACAAGCCACGACGATAAAGAAACTCAATCTAGGCTACTCGAGCTACCTGACTGCATGTAAGTGATTGCGGCTTTGTTAGGTGATGTGAGCGCCCTTGCGGTACGCCAACGTGTTGGTGGAATGCATGGATCGACCACGTACAGGAGGCGATTGTGGTGAAGTGCTTTCTCAGAAATAAGAGAATGGACCTGACGCAGGGTCACTATCCCGAATCAGTGACAATTTCAAGTGATTAGAGAGGATTTGGATTGTCGGGCACGGATGCAAGTTGCCTGTGGTGGATTAGCCATGACGAGCAACAAATGTCGGTGAATTCCTGCCGGTAGGAATCACCGGTCTTATTCACGTCATGGGGCCAGTGAGTGAACGCGATGTTTTCATCGACATTAGGGCCGGCATCGGCAATGTGGTAGCTCAAGTCGCGCTAACAACCACTTTCGGATCCTGTAATGGGATGGAGGTGCGAGCAGACTTGTGTATACTCGGCGAGGGACGAATTCGAAGGTTTGCGAAGTGGTACCCTCTTCTTGGAAAAGTGAACATTATCGCATCGGACGTCCAGGAAGCTGCGCTGTCTTGTAGGCTACCGATGTGCGATGCTATACTCACATTTGCAAACACCTTCTTGTTCGAGGAGTTGGCAAACCTGCTAATTGCACGGGAGTTGTGCAACATATCAAGGACCCGACTTGCTGCTGTGAGTTGCACATTTTTGGCCAACGCATCGCTCCACGTGCAAGTAGCCTTTCTGTCAAATATAGGGGTTTGTTAGCCCGCTTGGGGTTTTCTGTAGCTGGAACGCAACATCCCATTGTATTTTCTTATACAAGCGTAAATAAATGTCGTCTATTCTCCGACTATCTATTGAATCAGATACTGTAGTACCGCAATACAGTCTCCGGCCGCGGAGAAGTCAACCACGTTCAGTTCTACCACGTTCGCCTCGCTCACGACCATTACTAGCGCCACGTTCTTATTTTTGACCGGTGTGGCCGTGTTTTCCATCACGCCCAATACTTCTGGACCTATATAATAAAACAAAGACCCATACACATCCGTCACTAACACGCTAAAATAAGCCACAACCAACCCAGCACTCTCCTTGAACAACCAGCGATATAATCATCGCGTCGTTGACGCCACGATCAGTATCGCCTGTCTCCCCACCATAAACCGTCATTTGACTTTGTCGTGCCACTGGCGGCTTTGAGTTGGTGGCACCTTCGCTTTGATATACTACCACCTGAGCCCTCCTGCGCACGTTGTCTTTTAAAGTAAACGGCTGGTTGGGCAAGTAGAAGTCGTGGACCGTTTGCCACCACGTTAAATTTGTGCTCGGGCAACACCATGGCTTGTGTCCTTCGACGTGAGCGCCACTAGACAACCACACATTGTGCAAATGACAGTAGTAAGTCGCCCCTGTAGAGTATCGAACCTCCCACCGGCAAATTATACATCGTCGTCGCTTTCGATTCTGGTCCGCGTGTATATGTCGGGAGGAAACAGACGTAAATTTTGTTGCTGGTCTTGAAATGTGCTGTTGAGGTATAGTTGTCGAGATCAAATCTTGCCACAGTCAACACTTCCAGGCATTTTCCGTCCGTAAAATAGACGACCATCACTTGGAGCATGCACCTGTTGAACACCTATATGAGCCTCGGTAACTTACTCAGCCATTAAGACTATATGCGGGTCCCGTGCAGTGGACTCAGGTGTTGTCAAACGCCGTGTCAGGTATGCGTTTGATCGTGCGACGTCAATCAGAGCGAGCGCAATCGACCACGCATTTGATCTAGTCGATCAACACCATGCATGTTTGCGGAGAATTCCAGCGCCTGATTTCCAGCCGTTCTAACCATGGATGACTTGGTAGAGGCGTCTGCATTAGACACCATATGTACACGAAACTACCATCCCACCAAGCCGCGGCCGCCATCTTTAGTACCATCGAAATTGCCTGACGCATGTCACCTCGCGCAGAGTTGCCGTCCTTGTTCAGCATGCTGTGTCCTGGAAAGTGCCTGCTGTTGCTGCGTATCGTGCCGCGTCCGTACAACCCTTTCAAATGTAGTGCTTGAAGCACTTGCACAAATGCAGTCCATATTCACGATTCGATTGGTGCCAAGCCCTGGACGCACCACTTCAAGTACATGTTGGCGGATCTTTAAGACAGCTGTCAGTTTGTCACTC